GAACCGCAATTAGAATAGTCCCAGTGAGAACTTAAGCCTATCGTGGTCTGGAAGTCCCAGAGGCTAAGGCAGCTAGTACTCTCAGATTTTTCTTGTAGCTGCACGGAGAAAAAAAAAAGTAGGGATTCTAAAATAAAATATTACCGAACTTCGAACCGCAAGAGGAATGAGTCCTTAGGATTGTAGACCCAGTGGAAAAATGTAAACCATAGTGTCATGAATCCACAGGAGTTTTCAACAATTAAACAAACATTGGAGCAGCATCCAAGATGCTGTGAGGGTTCCCTTCAGGTGGTAACAGTTGCATATGAGTCCATCGTGGCCTGTTGCGGGACAAATGGTGTGCTTCTGGCTGGGTCCCAGATATGGGGTGTGCAAGGTACTGTGTGAGTGTCCGACCAGGTGAGAGAATACTGGTGTAGGCCCAAGTCCCTTAGCAGTGCTGCTGAGCCCTGAATGGTCTTGGATAGAGTGCGTGTCATTCCCCTTCTGGATAAGAAGTGTGCGGGACAGACGCCAGCGGTAGCGCATCTCATTGCCATTGGAGCAAGGTTTAAGCAACCTTTACCAGGTTTGTGTGCTGCTCGACAGGTCTGTATAAAATGACAGCGATATATTTTCAAAGCAGAAAGGTGAGTTCTCTTTCAAGGCTGTGAGAACTACCGCTATGTCCTTCCCGCTTTGGAAAGTGATGATTAGGTCCCTCGAGACCTTAGCTGGTGCTGTGGCAGGTTTGGGGATCCGAAAGATTATGTCTAGGGTCAGGGCCGCCATCAGAAATTGTGGGGCCCCTAACATAGCTCAAGGTCTGGGCCCCCTGGTGCCCGCCTCCAAATCCCGCCCACAGGAAAACACAGACACAAAAGGACACAGACACACACACAGGAAGATACACATATACTAACAGACACAAATACTAAAACAGACATACACACACATAGACACATACACAGATACACACACACACACATACTGACATACAGACACACACACTGACGTACATACATACATACTGACACACACACATACATACAGACATACATACAAACTGACATACATACACATAAATACATACTGACATACATACATAATGGCATACATATACATACTGATATACATACATACACACACACACATACAGATATATACATACACAGATACATACTGACATACACACACAGACATACATACATACTTGCAGACACATACACAGACATACATACTGACAAACAGACACACATACAGATAGACACATACATACAGACATACACACAGACATACATGCATACTGATATACATACATACACACAGGCACATATACATACTGACATACATACAGACATATATACATACTGACATACACACATACAGATAGACACGTACAAACATACATACAGACATACACACATACAGACATACACAGATACATACTGACACACACACATACATATATACTGACATACTTGCAGACACATACATATTCACACACACTTCATTTATCAGCCACCCTCCTCTTACCTTTAAGTTGCAGAAGGGTGGCTGGGGATGATGGGAGTGGATTCCTCTGGTGTCCTCTTTTGGTCTCTGCACTCCCTCTCCTCCGCTCTCCGCTTTCCCCCCCCGCGCGGAGTAAGCTGGGAGGAAGTGCCCGGCCGTTACTACCTCCCAGCAGCACTTGCAGTGTAGCTGCAATTTTTTTTTTAAAAGGGGCCCGGTCGCGCAATTACACGGCCGCAGCGCTGACCGGGCCCCTGAAGATATAGGGCCCATCGGGTGGCCCTAAATGCTGATGGGCCCGGTGCAGATGCACCTGCGGCAGTTTCGCCGCTCCACGTGAGGCCCGCACCCCCTGATGGCGGCCCTGTCTAGGGTAACTGTTTTGGCCTGTTGGGCAGTCAGTAGCGATGTCAATAGGCGTCTCACCATGTGTGGTAGTTCAGCCTCAGGTATGTCTTCCGGGACCCCTCTGACTTTAAGGTTATTACGCCTCCTGGTGTCCTCTTGGACCGCGAAGCAGCGTTCATGCATGAGGTTTTGCCACTTCAATACCTGCACCTCTAGCTGGAGAGTGGCAATTTGCTAAATGCTTGCTTGGGAGACATTTTCCAGTGTTCAGAAATGGCCTGTCAGTCCCTGCAGGTCGCTGTGGATTGCAGTAACATCCACCAGGATATTCTTTTACAGGTCCAAGAGGAGTGCCTTTAAGATCGTGGTCGTTACCAGAGAGGAATCCACTCCTCCTTTGCTTGTTTGTGTTGGAGCTGGAGCTGGATCAGGCATAAAATCTCCCTCTGTATCCTCAGAGATCTTATCTGAGAAATCCAAACAGCTGCCATCTTGGGCCCGCTGGCGCCATGTGCCAGTGTCCACATTTTCCTGATGGTCAAGCCAGAGGTGGGTTTGTCTGACTTTGATTTTTTTTTATTTGCGCCCCATGTAGCTTGGGTCATCTAGGCGGGCACTCAGGGCGTGAATTTTGGAGGAATTGTTGGGGTAATGGTGCTGGTTTCGCAGTTGAAAGCCCAGAGCTGTAGGTTAGTGCCGATCTAAGCACTTTTAAATTACTTTAAAAGTTTGTTATAACTTTATTAAACTTTAAAAAAAACTTTTTTAGAGGCATGTGGGGGACAGCTTGTGAGCTCAGGCAGTCTCCCTGCAGGCACAGCTGCAGACAGCCATTCCGGTCATGTAATTGCGAGGACCCCTGCAATCACATAGCCTGAGAAGGAGGGGGCCTAAAGGGGTTAAACAATGCCAGGCATCTAGCCAAATCATGGTGAATTGAGTCCAAACTTAACCTACATTTTGAGCCACAAAACCTATATTCCTTTTTTAAAAACATCTCTTTTAGTAATAATTTAATATCTCTTTTTTAACATCAACCAAAGCTAGGGTAATTTCCTTTTGAAGTCAAGTTTCTAAATTCTCTTAGTTTAGCATAGTCTAAAATATGACAATCATATTTAAATCTGACATTTTCCATTTGGTTAAAGAATAAGAATGACAGTTCAATTCACTTCTTGCTTGAGAAATTAATGATGTTCTAATACATATTTGAGTAGTACAATATGTTTCCATTTTTTAATATTATTACCAACTCATACACCATACACTGACACACAACATTAAAACCACCTACCTAATATTGTATATGTCCTCCTCATGCTGTCAGCTCTGATATGTCAAGGAACTCCACAACCTCTGAACATGGTCTGTAGAATCTGATACCAAGACATTAGCAAAAGATCCAAGTTGCGAGGTGGGTCATGGATTGGATTTGTTGTTCCAACACATCCCACAGATGCTCAATCGGATGTGGGGAATTTGGAGGCAAAAGCAATACCTTAAACTCTTTGGCATGTTCCTCAAACCATTTCTGAATAAATTTTGCAGTGTGGCAGTGTGCATTATCCTGCTGAAAGAAGCCACTGCTATTAGGTTTCAACGACTGCCACGAAGTGGTGTGCTTGGTCTTTAACAATCTCTACTTAAGTGGTATATATTTATGTAACATCCACACAAATGCCAGGGACCCAAGGTGTCCCAGCAGAACATTACCCAGAGCATGACATGGCCTCTGCTGGCCTGCCCTTTTACCATATTACATCCTGCTGCCTTCTCTTCCCCAGGTAAATGATCTACACTATCTGGCAGTGGTGGAAGAGTTGACACGGTGCAATAATTTTGGGCCACCTCTAGCACAAGAGTGGCCAAGAGGTAAATCCCCATCTGCAAAATTCCGCCTGCTGTAAATTTACAATTTACCTATCCTTGCAGGATTGTATTTGTATATAATTGGAATGCAGTGGTGTACTTGTGTGTTATATTTACATATGCATGCAGGGATGCTTGTATGTAGTGTTGTTTTTTTTTTAAATAAAGGTGTTTCATAGGCACTCACTGACATACTGACCTTGCTATAAAACACAGACTGACAAATGCACACACCTTGACGCGTACAGATATACTCACTGACACATACACACACCTTGACACACATACACACACATGCATTGGCACACAGATACACACACACACACACACACACACAAACTGACAGACATAGAGCGATGCACACATACATGTTATAATTTTTATATTTGTAACCTTGGGGTCCTGCTGATTCTTGCTGGAGCTAATGGGAATGTAGGTCTGGAACTGACTCTCTCCTGTGCAGCCCAATTTGGCTCCCTTGCGGCTATCCCTCTATCTGTGGCTACGCAGCAAATTGTGATGCAGTTTGTGTTCTGACACCTTTTTCAGCAGTAGCTCTTGTGTGTGATCAGGCCAGATGGAGCTAGCCTTCGCTCACCACATGCATCAATGAGCCTTGGGTGCCCATGATCCTGATGCCTTTTTTAGCAATTTAAACAGTAGCTCTTTTGTGTGATCGGACCAGATGGGCTTCCTTTAGTACCATACATTCCATGGTGGAACGCATTCCATATACCGATCGTCTGCTTCTCAACTTAGAAAGAAAAAGAATGCAAATCACGAAGGAAGGCTTACAATAAGACAAATCTTGTTTTGTTTATTTATATATGTGACAGAAGCTCCCATGCCATGGCCTTTGGAGATTGAAGGCCAGCCTCAGCCTTATGCCCACAGACTATGGACCTGGTTCCAAGTGCCCCTGAAAGGGGATTAGGATGGCAACAAATGAAAAACACACTATTCATTGTTACTTGATAAATCTGCAGTGCCCTCTGCTGACTGAATGTAAGTGTGGTATAATAATGCTGGTATACACATGAGGGCAACCAAATAAGTAGTTAAATGTATATATTAAAAATATATATTACTGTTTTTTTCTGTATTTAAAAATGTTACTTCCATTATATAGTTCCTGTATTAAGTATACTTCCTCTTTTTCCAATGTTCAATATATTTGTATTAGAAATGTTTGTCACCACATGCTTAAGGACTAGTCCCCAAAGGAGTTACATAGTTACATAGCTGAAAAGAGACTTGCGTCATACACACACTGACACACACACACACACACACATAGGCACATACAAACACACTGATATACACTGGCACATACATACATACACACATACACAAACCTTGACACACACTCACATATACTCTTTGACAGACACACATACAAACACATACACTCTCACTGACAAGCACACATACATTCTCACTGACAAACACACACACACTCATACACTCACTGACAAGCACACATACACTCTCACTGGCAAACATACATACACTCTTTGACAGACAGACACACAAACACATACAAACTCCCTAACAGACACACATACAATTTATTATTTTTTTACATTTTACTCCACCCAGCCGCTCTACCTTTGGGAGTGCTGGCATGGAGTCTCTATGTCCCTGTGGTCCAGTGGGGCTGCTGGGCTGGGCATGCAGTCCCCGGGGTCCAGTGGGGATGCTGAGCAGCTGGCATGCAGTCCCTGGGGTCCAGCAGGGCTGCTGAGTGGCCAGTGTGAAGTCCCTGGGGTCCAGTGGGGCTGCTGAGCGGCTGGCGGGTGTGTGGCGAGGGAGCGGTAATCTTCCTGCTCAGCTCCCTCGCACGCCTCTTAGTGATGCGGAGTTACATTATATCCTGGTTCTGGTATTATGAGTGAGCTGAGCCGGGAAGAGTGCTCCCTCACCACCCGCGCCCATTTTGTTTTACACAATTTTGGCAGAACCCAATTGGGAAATGCTGATATATACTATAAAGGATGCAAAAGGCTCTTGGATACTAGGAAACAAAATAAAGCAGTATTAAACATAGAGACTATCAGGGTTATTCAAACTGAATTTAAAATTTTAATCCAGAGTGAAACACAGATGACTTGGTGAATTATTCCACTTCAAATATTTTGATCTTGAATTTGATGTAAACCTTGAATTCTCACTTTAGTGAATAACCCTTTGTGATAGAAGGGAACATGACACAGAAATGCATTTAAAAACTGAAGATATTGGAGAAAAAAAAATGAGATTAAAGACTTGAGGCAAGAGGGACAAAAATATGGGAGTGTTGATGCATGTGCAAGAGCAGCAACATTTATATCTGTCAGTTTTTCTCACAATGTTCAGTTAAATCACCCCTTGCCCAGTGTATTTCTTTGCTAATTACTATCAGGGTTATTTACTATAGAGACAATTTAAAGTAAATTTCAAATTTCAAGGTTACTCAATCTATTTTTACTTAAACAATGCTTTTAAATTTACAATGGTCTATTGAGCTTTACTAACTAAATCCCCCCCTTTTAAAACCTTCAAAGAAAGGCAAAAGCTTACCTGAAATCCAGTGAGATGCTCCTGGCACTGCTCTCCATGCCTCTTTTCAACATCTTTGGGAGGTCGATTCATAGAGAAACATTTGATTGGACCATTTCACCAGCTCAAAACGCATGCACATGCTCTGGACAGTGAGGGAGAGGGGGGAGTGAGGGTGGGGAGAACTATTTTGGAAAAATAAATCGCGAGGGAGGGAGGGGAGAACAAGGCTTCCCTTTGCTGTGCGAGCTGGCGATAAATATATTTTTTGCACAGAATTGATATTACACAGTCTGGGCTGCCACTTGTCCTGGGGTGCAACTATCCCCAGTGCAAAAGTGCAGATTGCTCTGTATTTGCTGTGTTTCAAGTAGTGCATCCAGACTCCTACACACATGACCATATCAAATCACTTAAGTGGTCATAGTGGTTGGAATAACCCTTTAATGCAAGACTAGCTGACTTAGAGAACTTTTCCTCTTTAGTTATTTTGTCCTTAAATTGGAAAGTTACTTTGAATTATCACTTAAGTGAATATAAGATAATATTCCCTTGAATTGCTTAACAAATCCTTCTGGTTCACCATCACTCTTGGAATCCATTATGTGTTACATACCACATCTTACTTAGATACAAACACATATCATCCTCGGTCATATATGAGATGAGCTAGCATGCATGAAATGATTGCATAAAATCCACATAGTAGCTGATTTAATGTGCAATGTGCTGCATTAATTATTTCACACATAAAAAAATAGAAAGAACTGGTAAGAAAACAATTGTAAATAATGGTTTGCAAAGCACCAGCATAGCACCTGTATATATTGATTTTACAGTGAAAGAGTAATGTATTAATCACAATGAATAGGCAAATTTACCATGCAACCAAAATCAAGGGCATTTTACAGGGAACCATGAAGCAGGTTAAAACAGTAGTAACATCATTGACTTAGAACAGGTTCAAAACCTGGTGTAAACCACTTCTCTGGATAAGACACTTGACGTATATCTGCCTGCCTTCAATACTCATAGATTGTAAATTTGTTTGAGCAGTTCTTTGTCTCTGTTATTATTCTGTATGTCAATTACTTGTCTATAATCCACCTTCTATAATTGTAAAGTGCTGCGGAATATGTTGGCGCTATAGAAATAATAACACAATGTCCCTCTTACATATTATCTACATAGTACCAATATGCTCTATAAACATTTTAAATGTTCTTCTCACTTTGTATGAATTATTAAACTGCCTTCAAAAACAATATATAAGGTTGTTGCCATGATATGGTGCTATGAATACCCCTGCCTTCCCTAATATAAGTAGTCAAATCATTTTAAAATGGTGACGCTCAGTTGATACTCTCAGCCAATCAACTGGCCTTGCATTGCAGGGTTTAGATCAGGAAAGTTAACAGTAGTCCCTAATACAAACTTACAGCTCTTAGAGGTGAAGAGATGGCGAGTAGCACCAAAATGGTTTTATTACTTACATTGGGTCTTGCCAGGGCACTCCTGGCACCATAACCACTACAGTGTGCAGTAGTGGTTATGGGAGTTGGGAGTGTTCCTGTAAGATTGGGGTAGCATTAAGAGTCTTAGTGGTGTTTATTGTTAATTAGTATTATTTGTATTAGTATTTTTTTGTAATAGGTTTTTAGGGAATTCTCTCTTCACTGAGTGCTACAGTCCACAGCTGTTTTGAAGACAGGTTCCCCAAACCTGTCCACCTAAACCCTAGGTCCTCATAACCATAAACATCCCCTAAACCCCTATTCCGCTGTCTTTGGAAAAAGTGTCCTCTACACAGAGAGAGTGCCGAAGAAGTTGCAAATATTTGTAAAGTAATTACAAATATGTACAAATGTAATCTTATTAAACGTTAAAGAACTTGCTAATAAAAACCACATGATCATATCAAACAGATGATAGTGAGAAGGTAGGTTGGATGGATGGATGAAGTTTAGCATATTGCTTGGAGCTGGAAAATAATAGGTTCAATTTTGGATGGTCAACTAAAGGGTTAAACCACTATATTTCAGAAGATTCCCAGCCCCAATGGTATAGCCTATTCAACATCCAGCTTTACAAGAGGCACCTAGTGAAATTGTAGTACATGGCTAGCAAAGTCATTATTTAATAAAGTATCTTTTAGGTGATAGAAAAAGCAGTGCTTGTTTCAAAAGTGTACCCTTTGAGTGTGGTGCAGTTGCAAAGTTGTAACCACTCTCCAAAAAAGCTTTCTTAATTCAAGATTGTATCCTTTGTAGATATTAAAACATACTTGTATTTGTTTGTATGAAATGTCAGTCAGTCACTGTCTAAACCAGTGGTAGTCTACCTTTTTCTTCCTACCGCCCACTAATGCATCTTTATTGATGGAAGAATTTCCTTACCACCCACCAGTTTTAGCGCAAGTGCAGAATATTTTTTAGAAAGGAGGGCGTTTTCAAAAAATAAATAAATGTACGCACATTTATCTTTTTATTTCTACTTAATGAATGTTTATAATGTTCTTAACTTTATAAAGTTTAATGAGAAAACAATAAAGTAAATTGAAATTACCTTTACTAGTGATTAATGAGATCCTTGAGGTTGATGCTGCGAGACTAAATATTTAATATCAGGTTCGATTTTTGTAAGGAACAAACGCATAAAATGATTTCTCATCTGTGCGTCCGCTCCCCTCCTCTTCCTCCTCAATTCCCCTCCCCACCTTTTTTTTCTATTTTCTAACTTTACTTATAGCAATGCCCGGTAAGTTAGTCCACTTACTATAGCCCACTATAACAGACAGGCACACATACAAGACACACACACAAGACACACATACAAACAGACAGGCACACACACGACACACACACACACGACACACACACACACGCACACGACACACACATACAAAGACACACGCACATACATACAGACACAAAATAAGACACACATACATACAAAGACACATACACACACAACACATACAAAGACAAGACACACACAACACATACATACAAAGACAAGACAAACATACACACAAGACATACATACAAAGACACACAAACACACATTATATTTAAATCATCCTCCTGTTTCCTACCTTTAAGGTGCAGGAGGGTGACTTTCCCTGGGGTCCAGTGGTGGCTCAGGTGGATGGGAGTCAGAGTTCCCACTCTGACTCCCTGGTCTTCCTCTCGCGCGGCTCTCGGTGTTAGCTGTGAGGAGTGACGTGCAGTCACTTCCTCCCAGCTCTGTGATGTAATCACAGGGGGCCCGGTCACGCTGTTAAAGCGCCCAGCGCTGACCGGGCCCCCCTCACAATCCACATCCATTGGTTGGCCCTGAAAGCATGGGCCACCTGATTGACCCCTTGGACGGCGGCCCCGGTGGTTTGCCGCCTGGGCCGGGGCCGTAAAGGGTGAGGGCGGTACCCGGTCGCAGGGGTACCACCGGCTCGCACCCGCCCAATCTCTCCAAATTAGGAAATCCCTACCGCCCACCTGGAATCATGAAACGCCAACTAGTGGGAGGTAGGGACCAGGTTGACGACCCATGGTCTAAACTCTAAAGTGGTATCAGAGCTAGCTTCCTGCTGACTGGATGGAGCTCTGTTGACTGAATGGAGCTTTTGCTGGCAGAATGGAGTTCTATATGAAGACTGAATGGAGTGGTTTGCTGACAGAATTTAACTCTATTTGAACACTGAACGCAACTCTTTGAACACTGAACGCAACTCTTTGAAGACGGACTGCAACTCTATTTGAAGACTGAATTGAATTCTATTTGAAGACTGAATTGAACTCTTTGAAGACTGAATTGAACTCTTTGAAGACTGAATGCAACTCTATTTGAAGACTGAATGCAACTCTATTTGAAGACTGAATGCAACTCTATTTGAAGACTGAATGCAACTCTATTTGAAGACTGAATTGAACTCTATTTAAAGACTGAATTGAACTCTATTTA